ATTTGATCTGGACTGTAACGGTGCGTATGATGCCATAGCATCTCTTTCATTCATTCCATATTTATTTCTCCATGTGGTCATATCTCCAGATGGTTATGTTCTTCATTGTTACTTGTCATCGTTATAATGAATTAATTGAAGTTACAGCGTTGTAGTCCAAGCATAACAAGAAGCTACACAGACAAGATTTTCAGCCGGCAGCCACAAAGCCACCGCGAAAAGAACCAAAAGCTCCGTGCCTTACCGCCTCACTGCCGCTTCCCGCTGAGAACTGTAGAAGCGAGCGGGCTATAAATATGGCACTGAGCGGGAGGCTAAAGCTGGCAGCGGGCGGACTGCTATGAAGGCTTCAGCGGGAAGCGAAAGTGGCCGCGATAAGGCCACGGCGCTTTTGGTGGGTTTTCGCGGTGGCTTTGTGGCTGCCGGCTGAGAGCCTGTGATTGTCTGAGTAGTTCGTCGATCAGTTCCAGCATCTCGTCGTCGTCGACGAGTCTGGGTAGCTCCTGATAATCTGCTTCGCGTCGATTTCCCGCGTCGTCGAGTAGTCTCGGAATGACTGGCTCTCTTCTTCACGGCCGATGCACCATTTGCAGGTCCAGTGGAATTTCGCTCTTGTGCAACACAAGATACATGCACCGTTCGTACTACCACCACCTCGAACTTGGGTAATCAGATCCTCGCCTGGGACTGAAAACAACAAATACCATTACATCAGCAAAGCTGTGATCACATCATAGGAACTAATGCCTTTTTTCCTTGGTTATTTTGATCAAATTTTTTCCGCCTTTTTGGTCAACTTTGAACGTACTGATGTGTTTAAAACTTGATCAGAAGACGATGTTCGAAAGAGCTCTTCCAAAAAGGCGCTTAATATAAGGATAGCACTTTTTGCATAAGTGGGAAAGGGAATGGATAACGAAGTTGAACAATGCCTCTCACCGTGGAGGCTCGGGAGTTAGATGGCATGTGTTGAGCTTTGCGACATCTTCTTAATGTTGATGTTTTGCCTTGACGTCGTGCACTTCTGTAACAGATTCAATGAGAAGATAGAGCTACTTGGGAAACTGTGAATCTTGCAGCTCGCGCTGTGAAGCCGCGATAGGTTATTTAGACAGCACTTGCTCATACGGTTTTAAAGCAGAAATATGGTTTTGATTATTTATTAGACCGTTCAGCAGATATAGACAGGGCTCGGCACGAGTCGGCATTAGGGGATTTTCTAAACGAAGTCCTCTTTGATTTTGAAAAATTTCGTACGAAGTCCCCTTGGCTCCTAAACCCTAAATGTAGAAACGGCGACTAAAAAAATTCGCAATTTTTGTGTCTTTTTGGCCACAAAAATGATATCCCCTTTGCTTTGAGACCAAAAGCAAAGAGGATATCATTTCTCAGAAACGATTTCCAGCTTAACCCGCTGCCAGATGTGCCGAGCCCTGGATATAGAAGGTTGTTTTGTAATGAGCGTCCGGGGTTCTTTTATGTTAGATGATGATATCTCATTGTCAAGGGCCATTTCGCCATTGTCATCCTTCGTTACCTAGATCCAGTTTTCGCACGTAGCCATATCATGATATTCTAACTGAACCCTATATAATGTCACGACGCATTTTGTCTTTCAGTACTCTCTGAGATACAAAAATTGAAGCGGCACAGCCGCAGCGTAACATTGAGCTATCGTTGTAGAATGATTGTTCCCTTACCATTGCCGCTAAGTTGGGGGGGGGGGGGAACATTCTACTTACGACAACTTAGTGACATCAGCGCTTGAAAGTTGGAACAGTGCAGGAAGATTTATTATAAATCCATTTATTTCCTTCCAGTAGCACCCAAATAGTTATACAACGTCGATCAGTAAGCCACAGTTGCAGCCTCGTTCTGCAATATTCCAGAGCAGCGAAGATTACGGTAGATTTACAGTAAAGATGGTAAAATTACACGTTCTCAGATAATCGTCGGGGGCAGGCGGCCATGCGATTTATGGGGGGGCGGGCACCGGAAAAAAAGTTCGCTGATTTCTTGCGGTCCGCTTGCAGATATCTGAAAGAATTTTAGCGAAATTTTAGGCGAATGTTTGGAGAACAATCTCGGTTTCCTTATAGATTAGCTGCGGCGCAGTGGCCGCATTCTCGCGGACTTTCCGCGAGAATATGCAAAATTTTTGGGGGCCGCACGGTCCTTTGTTGCGAACCGCGCAGCCCCCAGGTACTTTCCGCTGGGAGAAAGTACCTCAAACTTGAGTAATCAAACCAACGGTGACACCTCTGCCACATAGAGTCTCATCTTTTCTCGGCGTACGCCCGAAATTGCGTAAAAAGGGTCCGAGCGCCTGCTGAAAGTTTGGCCAGCTTTTGCTGAAAGAGATTATCTGACGAGCGCCTGCAGAAAATTCTGTGTTGCTGCCCGCTGGCAGAACATTAGACAGTAAAGGAAGTACCGCTCGCTGAAGGTTTGGCCACGCCCCAAAATTCTGCTGACCGCTTTCAGAAAAGCGCGAGTTTGCGGACCGCCTGCCCCCGGCGATTATCTGAGTTGTTGTAAGCTCAGCTAACTGAGGCAAGTATTGCGAAAATGATGCGAAACGATTCTCACTATGCATGGGAGGGTGTTTGTAAAATCACGCAGAATTCTCACTTCACAATAATTGTTTGATAATGCTTTCGGCAGGTATTTACCGCGGTTTGAAAAGTCTCGGCAGATTCTGAGATTCCGCTTTTTAGTGATTGTCGGATGTTTGCAACGGCGTTGAGGACAGCGACTCGGTCATAATCTTGTGAGCGCTAGATCTAAGCTGTGTTTCGATGTTCCTTTTCTTCTCCTTGAGGTTAGTGATCGTCCTGTAGCAACACTTTGTTTACGGTTTTAGCATGTGTTTGTTTCAGTTTGCACTAGATCATTTTTTTGCCACAACGTAAGACTTCATCTTTCGCAAGCTTCGAAAAATGTGAGTTCTCCTGTAACCAGGGCCCCGCACGAGTCAGTTTGTAGAATTTTTCAAAACGAAGTCCCCTTTCTAGCCATGCGAATTTTGAGCAAGCGGGCCCAGGAGAAATAGTTCGCTGATTTCTTGCGGTCCGCTTGCAGAAATTTGGAATAATTTTGGCCAATTTTCGGACGAACGCTTGGAGAACTATCGGGTCTTTCTATGCTCAGATAATCGCCGGGGGCAGGCGGCCATGCCATTTTTGGGCAAGCGGGCACCGGAAAAATAGTTCGCCGATTTCTTGCGGTCCGCTTGCAGATATTTGGAAGAATTTTAGCGGAATTTTGGACGAATGCTTGAAGAACAATTGCGGTTTCCTTACAGATTAGTTGCGGCGCAGTGGCCGCATTCTCGCGGACTTTCCGCGAGAATATGCAAAATTTTCGGGGGCCGCACGGTCCTTTGTGGAGGACCGCGCAGCCCCCAGGTACTCTCCGCTGAAAGAAAGTACCTCAAACTTGAGTAATTAAGCCATCGATGACACCTCTGCCATATAGAGTCTCACCTTTGCTCGGCGTACGCCCGAAACTGCTTAAAAACCGTCCGAGCGCCAGCTGAAAGTTTGACCAGCGCTCGCTGAAAGAAATTATTTGACGAGCGCCTGCAGAAAATTCTGTATTGCTGCCCGCTGGCAGAACATCAGACAGTAAAGGAAGTGCCGCCCGCTGGAGGTTTGGCCACGCCCCAAAATTCTGCTGATCGCCTGCAGAAAAACGCGAGTTTGCGGACCGCCTGCCCCGGCGATTGTCTGAGCAGTGGCCGCATTCTCGCGGACTTTCCGCGAGAATATGCAAGATTATTGGGGGCCGCATGGTCCTTTGCGAAGTAACGCACAGCCCGTAGGTACCTTCCGCTGAAAGAATCTACCCCAAACTCGGGTAATCAAACCACCTCTGCCACATAGAGTCTCACCTTTTCTCGGCGTACGCCCGAAACTGCGTAAAAAGAGTCCGAGCGCTTGCTGAAAGTTTAGCCAGCGCTCACCGAAAGAAATCATTTGCCGAGCGCTAGCAGAATGCTGTATTGCTGCCCGCTGGCAGAATATGCGACCGTAAAGGAAGTGCCGCCCGCTAAAGGTTTGGCATGCCCCAAAATTCTGCTGACCACTCAGATAATCGCCGGGGGCAGGCGGCCATGCCATTTTTGGGCAAGCGGGCACCGGAAAAATAGTTTGCTGATTTCTTGCGGTCCGCTTGCAGATATTTGGAAGAATTTTAGCGGAATTTTGGACGAATGCTTGAAGAACAATTGCGTTTTCCTTACAGATTAGTTGCGGCGCAGTGGCCGCATTCTCGCGGACTTTCCGCGAGAATATGCAAAATTTTCGGGGGCCGCACGGTCCTTTGTGGAGGACCGCGCAGCCCCCAGGTACTTTCCGCTGAGAGAAAGTACCTGAAACTTGAGTAATTAAACCATCGATGACTCCTCTGCCATATAGAGCCTCATCTTTGCTCGGCGTACACCCGAAGCTGCTCAAAAACCGTCCGAGCGCCAGCTGAAAATTTGACCAGCGCTCGCTGAAAGAAATTATTTGCCGAGCGCCTGCAGAAAATTCTGTGTTGCTGCCCGCTGGCAGAACATTAGACAGTAAAGGAAGTGCCGCCCGCTGAAGGTTTGGCCACGCCCCAAAATTCTGCTGAGCGCCTGCAGAAAAACGCGGGTTTGCGGACCGCCTGCCCCCTGCGATTGTCTGAGCACCTGCAAAGCGCGAGTTTGCGGACCGCCTGCCCCAGCGATTATCTGAGTACATCATAATACAAAAGGGCGATTTCATTGCCTATTGAAGACGCTTTCTTTGAAATCTTTTCTTAGGAGTCTTTCTCGTTCTTCATTTAGAAGTAAACTTATCAGAATAATAGCGTGTCTGCCGATCGGGAATCACTACATATTAACATAGGAATGTTTGGAGGAAAGGAGTGACCCTCCTTGTTTCACAGTGTAACATTTTTTTTCTTGTCACGACACTAGCAACACTTGAATAATTTCTGATGTGACTTCACGAGATGGGCTCAGCTTAAATTCATTTCAAATGGACACTAGCAAAAGCGTTGTCGTATTTTCTCAACTTTCGCTCCACAGTCGTGAGATGACTTCTTTTTTCGATGTCGAAATAAGCAGCAAAGTAATCGTTAGTCTGAAAGAAGACTTCAAATGTGCAATTTGATTATGCGAACCAATACAGGAGCAACTTTGTTGCTAGACTTAGATACTAGGATAAAAAATTTGTCTAGCTCTAGCTGATCATATTAGGTTGGTTCATAATCGATGCACGTTTTTCCGTACTACTTGACACGCTTCACTAGTTTCTCATGTACACTTCCGTCTTCGGAAGTCCTTGTTCAAACCGAAGTTCCATGCCTTCAAAAATGAGGGACCTAATTCCATTCTGCTTGCTCTAAATCGTGAGAAATGGTCAGATACGTTTCAAAAAATATGTGTTATGGTTGCGAAGATTTCTGACAAAATGCTTACCGAGGCTAAATTTTTGAAAAATCCTGAGCCGAGAAGCTTCGACACAAACTTGCTCGACCGCTAAGCTACGACCATTCCGTGCCGTTACAAGAATTAGGTGAAAAGCGATTGCAAAACTTTCGCTTTACGCAGTTAGAGTAAAACTAGAACTATGACAGGAAAACGGCAGAATTTCCTTGTTTCCCAGGTGAGAAAATGCTAAAGGAATCTAAAAAACGCAGTTGCCTTCCCTGAAACGCAGGCAAGACGGAAAAAAATACTTCTGCTTTCTTGACAATATTCCTTCGCAAAAAATTTCCGTAAGATCCAAGTTTTAAACTACTACTCAATCAACTATCGGCATACATTGAGCAATGCTCCATTCCAGTGCTTTTGTAAGCGATTATGCTCTCTCAAACTAGAGTTTTTCGGAAATTCTCGGCAATCTTGGACCAGAAAATCCTTTTCATGGTGGGTACATTCATACAAAAGTATAGCTAAACTTGTATAGCTAAAGGGCTGTTTATAACAGTTTTCAATGCGTTCAGAAAGATTGTTTTGAAGAAGAATTTTCTCGACTAAAAGTTGAAGTCATGAAAACGTGCATCAATTATGAACAATCTATTATTTTGCATGGAACAAACACGCATAATCAAGTACTTATGTGATCGATAGTAAAGATTTTGAGGCGATCAAGTGGTTGGAAGGACCAGCACAGGGTCTTTGGTTACGGTGGTTAACAAAAGGCTTCACAGTGTTATTCTTCATACTTACAGTCAGTATCAGTTTGATTGATTTGTAAGACGAAACTGGAGTAGATGTTTTTTCATTTGGATCACCTGTAGCTTCGACAAGGTCGTTTGTCACAGCGCAGCACTTGCTATCAGTATCTATTATTCGTGAATGAAATTTCGCATTGACTAAACAATAAATCGTACCCTTAGGGCATTCATCGTCAAATGTAATATTTGCGTTGCACTGCAAAGGCTCGCACGAGAGGGATACCGTAATGTTCTGGTCAAATATATCATACGACATCAAAGACACTTTCCAGTCATCCTCATCCATTGCTTCAATTACCTGCGAAAGTGACATTGAATCACCTTTGAAGGAAAACTATCTTGTTTGGAAGTTGCTTGTACCACATGAAAGCTCTCATGGAGCTCAGTTCACTCTGCAGATCAGGGCTCGGCGCAGCTGGCACCGGGTCTTGCTGGATATCGTTTTTGGGACAAAAACCAAAGGGAATATCGTTTTTGTCTCCAAAAAGATACAAAAATCGCAAAGTTTATTTAGCCGATGTTTTTTGAATAGATTTTTACGTTTAGGATTTAGGGTCAAAGGGGACTTCGTAGGAAAATTTCAATATCAAGGGGACTTCGTTTTGAAGTTTCCCGGTGAGAGAGAAAATATCGCGGATCGCGATGCAATTGAGCAATATAATGCATGAGAGTTGTGTACGATGACCCCTCAATACCAGCTGAGACGTTCACGGATCGCAATGCTTGCTAAATAAAAAAGCTAGTTGCGGAATGCCAAGGAATGAATCCACGACGCCATATGCGACATTCCCTTCGACAAAAAGACCTCGATCCACAGACAAAAACGATTGCAGCTGCAGAAGGAACGATGGAGCCGTCAAGCGAACGTCTCTATATACTTAGTCATTATTAGTATTACACTCATGCATTTTCTAGCTTACACTCATTGCTTGTGTTGCCCTACTATCCGCTCATTCCTTGTACGTAGGATAGCACGTTTAACACTCTTATCGTATGGTTTCCATCTCCTCTTTTACATTTCTTACAAGTAGTCCAAATTCACAAAATATTTAAGAAATTATTTTGGTTTGACATATCATCATCATCATAGTTCCAACTATTTCTTAGCGATTTTGTCACTTTTTCATGTTAATTTGCTTCGTTGTTCATGTGTGTGTATATCTCAAGCAGAACGAGGGTTTAATTACCCAAGTTTGAGGTAGTCGGCAATAAACGTGTGTCGTTCGTGTGGTGTTTGGTGTGGTTCAATTGGCAAGGTTGTGGCAACCTTTTTAGAAAATACGTGAAAAGGAACGGAACAAAGCAAAACAAAAAAAAACCAAAAAGAATTAAACATACACGATGATATTCGTATTTTCCGGATTGGCGACATGATGTATTCAGCGAGCAGCACTACGCGTCTAGAGCAGCGTTGCCGCCGCCATTCAAAATCTTCAAGGGGCCGTGAGTAAGCGGGGAGGAAGGAGTTTGAGGCGGTTTAGGAACCAATTTATAGGGTTTGGGATGCAGATGAAATTTATGTAAAGAAAGTAAAAAAATTATATGAAAGAGGGAAAATTTATGACTTTTTCTTTCCCAAGCCACCTCAGGTGGCTTCCAGATGGCTCGAAAGCCACCTAACTCCGAAAAAAGTTGAGCACGCCTTCATTTCACATAATTTTTTCATAATTTTCCATACTTAGTCCTAACTCCCCATTGTCCATCTCCACCCCTATTTTGGTGTCATTTTATCTCACTTCGCTGTAAACAAGTTCTTTGTTTGTTTGGAAGCGGCGGCAGATCTAAAGACAGCGGTATGATCTTCCGCAAAAACGATATCCTCTTTGCTTTTTCCCCCTAAAACGATTCCAGCTTGCTTCCCTGTCTATATAGGAGGGGACCGGTACATTCCATCAAAAATTCTCACTTTCAGCAGCGAAATAAAAGTTTCAAATTTTTTTTTCAGAGAGAGTGATTTTAGTAGATAGTTTTGAGTTTTGCAGAACTTTTTGGCATCAAAATTTAGACAATTTTAAAATTATGCTGTTCATCGAGTACTGGCTACACAATGAGCAGTGTTTTGCTATTTTACCACAATTTGGATAAATTATAGCTCTTCAAAGTGGGGCTTTCAATAGATTTTGGGCAATCTTGCCACAAAGTTTTTCTCGTAGTAGCTGCGATCATATTTCGATGTGCATAGTACCAGCCAAGAATCTGTAGATTGTAACATAATCTACTGCTCTCGCAATGAAATGCAAAAACGTTATTGTGGTTTAGAGATAAAGGAACTTCAGAACTACCCAATACTTAAATTTGTACCGCTTTTTTCATTCCTGATGCGATGAAATGGATCACATCTTCTTTACTCTCGGCTACTCCTGGTATTTCTGAGCTATTACCGTAGACAAACTGTACAGGAAGTTGGTCCATCTGCGCTAGTACAATAACTTGTCTTTCTGCAATTGGCTATAGTTACTCATATCTGAGAAGTGCCAGGTTTTTTTTCTTCGATCGCAAAATTTTAAATTATTTCAAGACATCCGTTTGTTGTCATTGCCAGTCACGGATGAGCAGTTGCCGTGGAACAAAATTTACAAAATGAAATTAGAATTGATATGTTATACATAGAATATCGCAAGCATGACTGTACTGCTGAAAACTCTTTCCTTCCACTTATTTATCAGAATATGTTTAGTACCTATGGAAAAATATTTGTACAATTTTTTATCTAATGTCTCAGTAGTTTGGTTGTCCTCTTTTCTTGAAACCTCGGCATGTCGTATTTATGATGTTAATCTTGTTATGCCAATACGAGGTTTGGTGAAGCCTTTTATTAGTGCGGCCTTACGTTTCGACTTATCGTCGTCTTCAGAGGCCTAGAGTGGTGCGAGATTTAGATCTTATGCTTATCCCACCAAATGCCTTATCACCCTCCGGCTAGTTGCGTTCCCCCCTCCGATTTCACAAGAAAATTCGCATAAAGAGGAAGACGAACCAACCTCAGCGCCGCTTCACCAATGGTGCACTGGTGGTACTGTGCAACCCGTTCTGACGTGTCAGTAGTGCCAATGAACTACACTAGGCAGCTTGATATTATGCATAGTAGCACTACATTATAGCTCACACAACGCTAAGAACGGCATCAAGTCATTCGTAATCGTTAAACACTCCTTTCGGTTGTTCATAATAGGGTTTCTCTGCGAGATCCAGAATGCTTCGAGAGCTTTCCGCGCAGAAGTGTCGGTCTCGCAAGCCAAAATCAAACATTTAACTTCGTAGTCTTTATCACCATGCACCTCATGTCTATGTTTCCCTAACGGTGAATTGAGACTAATACGCCTTTTGTTGGCCAAATGTTCTTTTATTCTCACACCAAGTGCCCTCCCTGTTTCTCCAATGTAGGTGGCGCCGCATTCAAAACACTCAAGCTGATATATCACTCCTACTTTTCCACAGTCGCCGACCTTACCGTAAGGACAGATTATGCACTCTTTTGAGATACAAAATCTATCGTACAGCCTATTTCGTACAAGCCGCTTCTTGATGTTATCGCTTGGTATATCCACTAAAATGACATCGTCGTTCAATCGTGCTCGCCTGATGCTGTGTCGTATAGCAACACTAACTTTATCTGAAATGAAGGGCAGACAGAGAGGTATTTTGTCCTTGCATTGAACGATGTTGCGGGTTTTACACGGATTACTGTGCATATGATGCATCAGATAACCATTTGCCCGAGCGATATCCAATGCTAGACTTCGCGATTCTGCCTTTTCCTTCTCTCCTCTACAGACCTGTGTTGCAGTTTTAAACATATTATGGACCACAGCATGTTTTACTGCAGATGGATGAGCAGAGCGAGCATGAAGTATGATGTTCTTTGAGCTGTTTTTACGATACCATTTAACAATTGCATGGCATCCGGACAGTTTAAATTGTACGTTCAAATAAGGAAGCCAGCCGTCAGCGGGTTGTTCACGCGTAAATCTTATGTATTGCGACTGTTGGTTTAACAAGCGAAAACACTCGTCCATTTCGGACTGTGTAGATGTTATTACACAACAGTCATCTATGTACCGGCAATACATAAGAGGAAGTCTTAACAACACCGGATTCTCGATTTTACTCATAAAACATATTGCGAGGACTGGCGCAAGTCTCTGTCCCATCGCTAGACCTCTCAGCTGGGTGAAGTATGATCCTGACCATCTAAAGATGTTACAGCTCAAACACTCCTTGATCAGTATCATAATATACTTCTTGCTCAGCCCGAAAGTCTGGATGTTCTCGCCAAAACTATCCAACATTTCCGATAACGCTTGTAATGCGTCGTCATTTTGAACATTGGTATACAGCGATACCACATCAAATGACTCAGTTACGCATCCGCTGTTGAACTTAGCGTTATGTAGACGTTCGAGAAATTGGTTAGTATTTGACAAGTGGGACGGTATCTTGGCCAGCAGCTGACATACAATTTTATTTAAAAACCAAGAAATCCTGTCGGTTGGTCCTCCAACACAGCTGATGATAGGTCTTATTTTAAACTGTCCGGGTGCCATCAAGCGCGTATTATCGGTTTCAGCAAGCTTGTGTGTCTTAATGAGGCTGTAAAATACGGGGCAACTTGGTGTGTCCAACTTCAATCTGCACAGAAAGCTCTCGTTTAAGCCAGCTGTTTTCCCAACGCTCATCCAAATGTGATTGAGTCGTTTATACTGTGACACAAACTCTTTTTCGGTGACGCGGCGATAAACCGTTGCGTCATTCAGGTGGAGCTGTGTAATTTCGCGATCTAGATCTTGAGGTAGAATCACAAACTCCCCTCCTTTGTCACTTACAGAAATGCGCACAGTATCGGTCTTAATCAAGTCACGTAACTCCTTGTAACCAAGCCATTGTGAATGCGTCAAGTTCATGTGGTGCGGCTGTTTGGAATTGTATGCAGCCAAGACACCAGATGACAAAACTTTGAACTTGGCGTCTGCCTCAGGTGTTGAAGGAGGCTCTTTGTAAAACAGGCTTGGAAACGGTATTGGTGGTAGCAGCTGCTTACTGAGTTGAACTTGCCCATTCTGTCGATCTCGGTTGTTATTGAACTTGGCTCTCATTCTCAATTGATCCCGGAGTCTTTGAAGTCCAGCAACGACTTTGCGGAAAACTGACCCATTGACATTCTGAGCAATAGAGAATGAGGGGCCTAAGCTGAGAAACTCATATGCGTTATTCGAAATTTGTGCATTACCGATTACTGTGACTCTTGCCGTCTTATCAGGGTATTCATTATGAGCTATTTCAGCGTCGAAGCGGTGGTGCTTAGGTGAGCTGCTTCCTGTATTTAATTGAATTTTACAAGTGGCATCAAAGAGTTTGTCGTACTTTGCACAGAGTGAGGACTTGGCGTTAGATCGAACAGAGTCACAGATCGATCTCGAGCCTTGCTCAATCCTCCTCCAAGTCGGATAAGGCAGAAGACGTCGACACGCCTGCTCTTTGCTGTTACATTTCAATAAAGAAGAATACAATAAACGTTGTTTTTCTTCGATCACCAGTCCCAGCATCGTGCGGTAGATCTTCTTGACTTTTGGGTGATCTTCGGTAACGTTACAGATGGTTTCTATCTTCTTATTTGAGATGAACCGTGGCACAATGTCGTGCGTTTTACACCGCTTCAGAAATTTGATCGATTGACGAGTCGCAACCACCTTCTGGCGAAGCGATAAAGCTTCCCGTACAAGAGGAACCAATTGAGGCGGCACATTAGTCAGTAGTTTGGTTGTCCTCTTTTCTTGAAACCTCGGCATGTCGTATTTATGATGTTAATCTTGTTATGCCAATACGAGGTTTGGTGAAGCCTTTTATTAGTGCGGCCTTACGTTTCGACTTATCGTCGTCTTCAGAGGCCTAGAGTGGTGCGAGATTTAGATCTTATGCTTATCCCACCAAATGCCTTATCACCCTCCGGCTAGTTGCGTTCCCCCCTCCGATTTCACAAGAAAATTCGCATAAAGAGGAAGACGAACCAACCTCAGCGCCGCTTCACCAATGGTGCACTGGTGGTACTGTGCAACCCGTTCTGACGTGTCAGTAGTGCCAATGAACTACACTAGGCAGCTTGATATTATGCATAGTAGCACTACATTATAGCTCACACAACGCTAAGAACGGCATCAAGTCATTCGTAATCGTTAAACACTCCTTTCGGTTGTTCATAATAGGGTTTCTCTGCGAGATCCAGAATGCTTCGAGAGCTTTCCGCGCAGAAGTGTCGGTCTCGCAAGCCAAAATCAAACATTTAACTTCGTAGTCTTTATCACCATGCACCTCATGTCTATGTTTCCCTAACGGTGAATTGAGACTAATACGCCTTTTGTTGGCCAAATGTTCTTTTATTCTCACACCAAGTGCCCTCCCTGTTTCTCCAATGTAGGTGGCGCCGCATTCAAAACACTCAAGCTGATATATCACTCCTACTTTTCCACAGTCGCCGACCTTACCGTAAGGACAGATTATGCACTCTTTTGAGATACAAAATCTATCGTACAGCCTATTTCGTACAAGCCGCTTCTTGATGTTATCGCTTGGTATATCCACTAAAATGACATCGTCGTTCAATCGTGCTCGCCTGATGCTGTGTCGTATAGCAACACTAACTTTATCTGAAATGAAGGGCAGACAGAGAGGTATTTTGTCCTTGCATTGAACGATGTTGCGGGTTTTACACGGATTACTGTGCATATGATGCATCAGATAACCATTTGCCCGAGCGATATCCAATGCTAGACTTCGCGATTCTGCCTTTTCCTTCTCTCCTCTACAGACCTGTGTTGCAGTTTTAAACATATTATGGACCACAGCATGTTTTTACTGCAGATGGATGAGCAGAGCGAGCATGAAGTATGATGTTCTTTGAGCTGTTTTTACGATACCATTTAACAATTGCATGGCATCCGGACAGTTTAAATTGTACGTTCAAATAAGGAAGCCAGCCGTCAGCGGGTTGTTCACGCGTAAATCTTATGTATTGCGACTGTTGGTTTAACAAGCGAAAACAAGTACTCTGCGTTGATACCACTGCTT